CGGCGGCACATCCCCGGCTGGAGCTCCCCTGCACCCGCAGCAGCACAAGCGCTCGCCCGGGGGCTTCCAGAGGCACTACCAGGTATGGGGCAGGGCGGTAAGGGAGACAGGTCTGCGCCTCCGCACAGCGGGGCGGGAGGGAGGGAGGGAGGGAGGGAGCTGCTGCTGCTGCTAAGCCGGGCCCTCAGCCCGCAGGGGAGAGCACGCCGAGGGCAGGCGACGAGGCGCAGCATCCTTCCCCTCCACCACGATTTTCAGGGGAGAGCGAGACTTGCACCACGCTGGGCAGCATCTGTCTTCCCCCCAGTAGAGAGGATGGAGGGACTCCAGCTCAGGCAGCTGCTGTGCGATCAGGAAAGGGAAGAGGGCCCCAGGCCTGGCTGAGGCCTGTTGCAAAGACACAAGGACTCACAAGAATGTAGCTTTCTTCCTTTTCATCCTCTGGTGTGTCAAGGTAGAGAGAAAATTAAGCACCGCCCAAAACTGCAGCAGACACCTTTCTCCCTTGTATGTACCTCCTTTTGATCAGTTTTCTTTAACACATTGGTGAAGTGCTGTGTGCTTTTACTTTGCCTGTGTTGTCTTCCATCATGAAAGCTGCCCTGTCCACACACAAAGCTTTCTGGGACATGAGTAGAGAAAAGAAGTGCTCTATTAAAGAGAATTAAGGTGAGGCTCCTTTAAGCAGAAATTAGAGCATCTGTTGGGATAATAGAGCATAATTTTAAAGTCTTTGTGTTGCTCTGAAAGCTTTAGTTTATATAAAGTAGTTTTCCTGAGAGCTGTCAACAACAGGTTCTGTGGGTTATGCTTTTTTCAGATGGTTTAGTTGGGGCACGTGACTGGCACTGCAGGTAGGGATGACAGTTCTTGAGGTGATACCAACTTTATGTACACAGCTGGCTTCACGCAGTATTAGAGAAACCTTAAAAGTGTAACAAATGACACGTGCAGTACCAACAATGATAAAATTTTCAGGTCCTTACTGACACTTTAAGGATTAAAGTGCAATAATGAAGTCAAATCGTAATAGAGATTAGTACCATCTTAATGTGCCTGCACTGCATAGTCATGTTTCCATTCAAAAATTGTCTTTGGTTACTTTTTTACGATGCAGATAACTATCTTACAGGAATCTCATAGTTGGTGGAAGGGGATCGTTATGAACTTTATACATTTTCTTCAACGCAACAGCAAAGGCTCTCCCAGTGTGGAAGCCTACTGATTGCTTAACCACTGTACCTGTTGAAGAGGCAAAGGATGTGGGGTTTCTGCTGCAGAATCTGGAGGGATGGTTTATGTCACCAATGTCTAGACATTTCCCTTCAGAAGATCACTCTTTGGGTATTCAATTAAGTGTTTTTTTAAAAGCCTGCCTTAAATTAACTGAGCAGAAGAATATGCAGGAATCCTTTTGCCTCTAGTTTTAGTCAGAACTGTTTCATGTCAGGACCTGTGGCCAGGAATAGTCTTATAGGCTCCATCCTTGGGCTTAAGTAAGAAACCTGACATAAAGAAGGTACAAGTTTGAATCCAGTCACAGACTGTCACAGCATTTTCCCTTCTCCCCTTTCCTTCTGAAGACCTTGTGAGTAGTTTAGGACTATTGACCTGATGGTGATGCTTTCTAAGACTAGAAAGACATCGTATGTCTGTAGCTTTGCCTAGGACTAAGGTAATGTGTATGTGTGTACTTTCACGTGTATGCACATGGGTTGTTTTGCCTGGGAGGGCAATAGAGGCAATCACAGAGGGAGGAAGGCTCATAAGCTGTGAGTCCCCGTTTTCTTCAACATGGGCACCAAGAATCTCAGTCCGTGTGGCCGTGAGTAGATTCAGGTAGAGGGATTATTTGCATGTTCTAAACATCAAATTTCTTCTGAGGTATGTGGATTGTTCCCTTCTCTTCTGTAGATGCTGTTGGTAAGAGAACTACAGTGCTTTTGAAATTTATGATGCTGCTGTCACCTTTGAGATGAAAATCTTAAGTGACCCTTTCAAATCTCATCAGGAAATCCAAAAGACAGTTTATATTTACTTTAGTGTTCTATTAATGACGTTGTTGTTATTATTATTCTGTGCTCATTTTGTGCTTGCAGACTTTCATGTTTTGAAATGAACAGAAAACTTAAAGCAAAATGTAGTAAGCTCGATTTTTCTGAAATGGCTGACTTAACCTCTACGTGGCCGACGCTTTACAGAGCTTTCCATTTTTTCAGAGAGATGCATCTGCTTTAAATTTTATGAAAACATGTTTGTTTTATCTCTTGAATATCTCCTCTTAGAATTCACTTAGAATTCACTCCTCAACAGGAGTTAGTGAACTAGCCAGTAGCAGTAGCTAGTTAGTCGTAATGGGTTGAAAATTATTATGAAAAGTAAAAAAAAAAAAATCTTGTTAAATGGTATAACCATGATTTCTGCATTTTTGTGCATCTGCCAGCAGCTGAAATTACATCAGGTGAAGAAAGCCGATAAAGGGAGTGACTGTCCCCATTTTCAAGGCAGTATTACCCCATTCAGTAACATATTAATGAATAGCACCAAAAGATGGGTTTTTTTCTACTGTAGAGAGAGATTTGTTATCTGGAAAAAAAGTATTAAGAATAGAATGACTGTTTCTTTAAGGGAAGTTCAGTGAGAAAATGCTGTTAGCACCAGTGATCGTAAAATATGTATTGTTTTTTAAGGTATCTTTGGCACCAAATAATTTTTCTTGCACAGGTGAAACTGTTTCACGTTTCACAAAGGGCTCTTCCTTTTTCACAGGGCTATAGTATGAATAGTCACATTTTGATTTTTTTCTAAATTTTTTTCTAAATTTTAAAAAATTAATATCTACGCTTATATTTTAACACTTGTTGAAGGCCATCAATCTTGTATTACATAATAATACATTTCCTAGATTTCAAACATGCAAAAAAAAGTCACTATTACTGATGGCCTGCATTATATTGTAGCAAAATTTAATATTATAAAATAAATCCATTCAAAAGAGTCTTACCATTGAATTATTTTGTTCTGTCACTGGGTACTGCAGATCATTATGTCAATTCAGCTTTCTTCTGAGTGCTGCAGATTAGACATAAGATAAAATAAACTCCACACTCAAACTGTTATACAATGTCAAAGTTATAGGGTCTCCATTAAACATGGTGTTTGAGAGTTGTTTTTTTTTTTTATTTTGAAGACAAGAATGCACTGTGTACTACTGCTTTACTACTAAATGTGAGCGCTTAACATAAACGTCACTTTTGCTTGTGCATGTTGACTTCCTCTAGGAAACTCCTTGTCCCTTAGAAAGTTTTGAGATGTATTCTGAAGTGATACTCTGATCTTACCCTCATGGTTTTTTGACAATAAAATACCTCTACCTTTTAGTAATTTTTCAATTTTGAGATCATCATCTTATCTGCATAACCTAACTGTACCATAATGAATCATTAGAAACAAGTGCCCTGTAAATAAGACATGGATGTTCCCACGTTTGGTTGTGTATCCATTATCATCAAGCTTTAGGAGTTCTAGAAAAGTACATACTGGGACCACACAAGCAGGCTCCTGCCACAGCACATTTTCAGAAATAGGTTCAAGAGCAATTTTCAGAGGAATCTGTTCTTCTAAGCATAGGGGCCTTCGCTGTATGGCACCGTTTCTCAGTTTTACCCAGAAATTGTCTCATATGATCTATTTATTGATAGGGCTTACTAGTCAAATTCAAATACCATCACTGCTGGTCCAGAAAGTCGGAGGGGGAAGCAGCCCTTAATCAGTGCTTTTACCCTCCTTTACAAAGTCAGAGGCTGATAATCAGCCTCTAGCAATCCTGTTCTTCTAATCATACAGAATGCAACAGGCGTGTTTGGAAGCTAACTATAGTGTATCTGTAGTGTAGGCTGTCTAACTTTGGTTAAAACAAATGAGTTTAAACAAATATACCTTTAGACAATACCTCACTTTTTGGGAAAGTGCATCTAAGGAAAAGAACAATGGATGATGCTAACAGCAGAAGAAGATTATAGTGATTTCCTTTGTCATAGCTCTCTAAGTTGCAGACCCGTAGCAGGTTTGTAGAAGCTGCACTGATGGTCCTTGATCTTTAAAAAAAAAAAATCAAATATCAAAAGCCCCATGCAAAAGGTTTTTCTTATGCAATATCTGCTTAATCACTGATTATCATCCAGAATGTATATCAAAGAAAGTCATCTGTTCTCAAATTTCACAGAACACTAGTTTGGTTAAAACAGGGGTTTTTTTCCCAGTAAGTTCTTCAGGTCATTTGTAGCTGTTTGCTTCATACAATGCTGTGTTCCATCTATAAGTACTTAATATCTGACTTCTGCTCTTGTAAACATTATCAACTCTTCCTCAGCCTCTAACTCCCTGTTTGGTTCAGCTTTTGAGTTAGACATGTCATTGACTTAGGCAGCTTATGAAAAAAAGCATGAGGAGCTTTTCTGTAGTTATGTGCCAGAGTGACGTAAACAAGTATTTTGGAGAAGACTGGTTTCTTTTTTTCTTATCCTGGTAAATCATCACTCATAATTAAAAGTATAATAAAGTTAATGTTTTCTGAGGAAGGTGCAGATGAGGAGTAGTAATTATCATTAGTAATCAGCTTCAAAGCTCTGCTACATTAGAAGGAAACTATTTTTTTTTTTCAGTTTGAATTAGTCTATTAAATGTTTCTTTACCTGATGGTTTTCTTCCAAAGGGATCACCCAGGACATCTACTCCATTTGGTACAGCGCATGGCAGAGAGAAAAGAGTGTCTAATGATGTGGAAAACTATTACAGACCTTCAATGCTTGAGGACCCATGGGCTGGCCTAGAGCCAGTTTCTGTTACAGACATAAACCAACAATACAGCAGTGAGCAAACAACATATACTGGTAAAAAAGGGAGGTATTTCAGCTAACACTTTTAAAGGCCAAATAACTCCATCTTGTCAGGAAAACTTTGGGACAAAATCTTTACACTTACACAAGATGAACAGTAATCAAGACCTTAGATAATGCTTTTATTTGATCACATCCACCCTTTTATCCTACTTTTTTTTTATCGCATTGGATATTTTTATGTATAGGAGGGAAAAGGAGTGGTAGGAAAACTTACATTTCTGGCTACGTGGAAGTGCCTACCAGCTTTGAAGAACAAAGTGTTCTTTAATCACCAGCGACTGATTTGTGACTGTTAAAACAGGTTTCCATATATTTACCTCTTCCATGCCAGATTGTTAGCCTTTTATTGTAAACTCCTTTAGTAAATGGTATTTTTTTATGTTTCAACATTTTTAGAATGAAGTAACTTGGAAAGAAAATAAAGTTTTGTAAATCCTTGTTTTGTAATGTATAAAGATTATTTTAGGACTTTTGTTAAGGTGTACACATTAACACAAATAGTACTAGTGAAATTAGGTGACTTTTGTAAATGTGCTTGTATGCTGTAGTTAACCTCTGATTTTGTGCATAGTATTTTTTGTTAATTGTAGTGTAACATGAAGTTGAAACGTGACTTTTAGCCATCTCAGGAAACAAATGTATTGTCTTTGAAAAGTTTAATTTGTTGAACCAGCTCTTGAGTCATAAACATAATTCTGTAATCATTTGCTATTGTATTTAAAAAAAAAAATCTTATTTGGAACAAAATTAGACATTTCTGGATTATAGTAACAAGTCTGTTCGGCTGCAATTTAAGTCTAAGGAGCACATAAACCATCAAGATTAAATGAATGCAAATGTACTTTCTGGATCCACCTGTTAGAAAAGCATAGAATTAATGAAAGTTTGTTATGCAGTTGACATTAGTACATGCATAGCATCTTTTTTTTATCTATACAAGACTTTTTTCAATTTTTTTTAATTATTTTTTATTTTTACCTATGGCAGGCATCTTTGCCTAGAGAAGTCTTGTTTTGTGTGCACGCATGCTATATTTTTATACTGAAGAGGAAAACAATGAGGTTTTTTTAGAGCTTGTCTATACATGGAAGATCCATTCTTAAATCCAGTAGTGAATATTGTAATCTAGAATAAATAAGAAATAGTTCCAGCTGCAGGCATGCTCTTAATATGCCATGTTAAGCCTGCAGTAGATATCTAAATTTTTGTTGAACTTACCATTATTTGTTTGTTGATCTTGGCTTTTAAGCAGTACGTAGATGGTGAAAACATAGTTAAAAACAAATAAAAGCATTAGTTCAGTTTTCAAAACATGTGTTTTGTTTTAAGCTTGTTACGTACTTCACAGAAAACACATTTTTGTAGTCCTGAAGCATGGTTAGGTAGAAAAGCACAGGGAATCACATTAGACTGTTCTTAGTAACTTGTCTTTTGCTGAGGTAGAATAGTCCTATATACTTCTTTATCAGCATAAAATGTCTTGGCTTAATACCACCTTCAGGAACAACTTCAAACTGGAAGGGGGGGTTAATGTGTTGAAACGTGCAAGCTGAGTCTCTTTCACTTTTATGACCATAATCTAAAGTTTGTCACTTGTGTCTTCCCCCAGTTGACCTTATTGTTTTAGTATTGTATCCCAAAAGGCTGCTCAGAGAACTGAGAACATAATGCCTGCTTGATATCAAGAATGGTTAAGTCTTCATCCCGGAATCAAAACTGTGCCTTAAATGGCAGCTATCAGTATTGTTATCTGTAACACGTACCAGCAAAACTGAGATGACTTGACAAGTTGTAGACAGTCCTTGGAATTTATAAATCAATTAAGCAATGTCATTGTGAAAAGTGAAGTATAAAGTTTTCTTCCCTTTTTTTTTTTTTTTAACCTTGTCAGGTGCTGTAAAGCTCACAAAAAAGTTACAGGGTGCTTAACTGAGTCATCTTTTTTTGTTACTATTTCCTTTGTAATTCAGTGCAGTTTACTTTTTGCAATGTTTGGTGATCTTGGGGAAACATACAATGTTATTTAAGAGACCGAAGCTATGATGTGTTCCTGGTTAGACATGAGAAGAAACTGGGTTTGGAAAGGAGACAGGAAAGGAAAAGGATTCCTGACAGAAGAGAGACTGTTAGAGGTGGGACTGCTTATACAGTAGCCAATACTGGCTGTCCTTGCACATTGCAAAGATGCATTTTTCAGCTTTGGCTTTGCAGTTGACCCAGGGATCAAAGCCAGCCTCCTCTGTTAACTCCTGGAACCAGCTGTCAGACACCAATGACGGTAAACGTTCCAGAAAGAGAATTGAGGAAATAATCTTGAAGCATTGTTTAATCAATACAGGCCTTCCACAATGCCATCTGTTAAGCTGCTGCTCCAGTGCACTTCGGGATATGACCCAACAATTATAAGTACACCATACTGCTAAAGACTCCAATAATTTGGTCAAGAATCAGCAAGGAATTAAAATGTAGATGTATTAAACTTACTAACCTCATCATACTGCACCAAAAACTTAAAACCATTCACCTTTCTGGCTTCTAGGAGAAATTCTGCAATTACAGTAAAATTTCAAAATGTCGTTGTTGAACAGCTGTAAAATGCATAAACACACATTCAGAACTATAAATATAATGTACTTAAAGTCAATTTAAGCTTTGCCTTTTTTACTGTGATATCCAGGAAGCTTAAGCACTTACTTCCTCACCAGTTTTTCTCCTTTTTCCCACGTGGCAAACATTCTTTCTCCCCACATGTTTCTAATGGAGATAGGATATATCACTTCCTCATTTGTTAATGAAGCCACTTCATAGTAACAGTATGGCTCTGGAAATAGCATTTGATGATAAAAAGTACAGCTCAAATACATCCTTTCTTCATGGGTCCATGAAACAAAAAAGTGTCTGTCTTGTTAACGAAGGGATTCTTCTGTAATGAACACACTAAGAATATGGTCATTGTTCTTTCTTCAGCAGACTTCTTAGACTTTAAGGTAAGTCATTTAGCTCCTTTTCCAGAAGTTTGGATTGATGTACTACTTTTCCATTCTGTTTTTTCTATTGTGTTTGTGCGTCAAGTCCGTCTGATTTTCCATTCAGTTGTTGTAAAGGAGTTGTATAAATCATGACTTAACTCTCTTATAGCAAAAACTTGATTTCATTTGTTGCTGTTTGCTACTGTGTTTAACAGCGAACTGCATTGCTACTACATTGTGCTAATATCACAGAAAGATAACTTAAATTAGCGGAGTACAATTCTGTGTAACATGGCAACACACTGGGTGTGGAGTTACCCCAAGCTGTGTTCTGTAATACTTCCAAGATAGTTCAGGTTTGGGTTTTCACTGTGACTTTACAGAATATTCATTCTTCTTTGGTACTTTGGACACACTATTTTACACTGAAATTGTAAAACAATTTAGAATGTTAAATTTCCATTAAAACAGGATTTAAAAAACTCGTATCAAGCTGCTTGTCTTTAGAACTAGCAATAAGGCATTAAGAGGTAGCATTTTTCTCATGTCAAAACTGGGAACACTTTGCAGGGGAAATGCTTCTGGTCAACAGAATGGGTAACTGCTTTTGCAGTCAGGTTGTTTTTCTTTTCCTGGTAAGGATATCTTTATGTACTCTTCACTTTGTATAAATGTGTTAATTAGACATCCGAGGGGGAGCATTTGAAAAATGCATTACATGGAAAGTCTACAAGTAGCCATTCAGCTCCCTTCTAAAGAAAAGCTTTTTTTATAGTCTGGGTTTCAAGTTGTGCTAGTGAGTAATCTCACTGATGTCAGAGGATTTAGTCATGCAACCAAGATACGTAAGTATCTAACATTACAGTTTGAAAATTGTATCACCTGTTTGTCTGTCAGTGCTTTTTACCAACTCTGCAATAAACTGCTCTGTTTAGCAATTGCTCTGAATTCAAATTCATACATGTGCTTTTATACCTGAGCCAAGACTGTCTTGCAGTGAATTAAACTTGTCTTTACAACATTTTCCTAAATTCTCCAGAGTCAAGACTCTGTTCTCCTTTCCCCAAATCTTAGCATTTACCTTCCTCCCATCTTCCTTGTACTAGGGGAGAAAAGGGAGAATTGCCTACACTGAGTGGTGGAGAATCATGTCATGATTTTCACGTCTCAGGCTTTCAGAACCTTGTGTACCAATTGACATCGGTAACTAGATAAACCTTTCTGTCATTTGAGATGGCTCAAACAATGTCTTACACCACGAGAAAGGAAAGAAATCACCAAGTTGTGTTAACGCTTAATAGTAGTATAGTTCCACCATTCAGTCATGAGTTCACAATCAAATTTTTTGCCTACAGTAACTTTTCATGTGTATGTCTCACGAGGCACAACTTGAATCAGTTTAATTTTCTGCCATTTTCACTAAAATATGTGCTTTGCTGACTTAGACTTTAAGAACACTTTCTCAACCTGGACTTCTGAATTTACCTTTACAAAATTACTAGCTGTTGAGTGTTAGACCTCAAATCTAGTCCTACCCATTAAAGCATTTTAGATCTGGCTAAACGAGCTTTATCTTATCCCCGTTACTTCCTTGATGATGCTAGGAAACCTTTGACTACTGGGCTAGAAACAGTTGGGCTGAGGCTCGGTGCCAGAACAGGGTCATCAAACTCCGCTTCCTCTCCTAGAGCTTACCCCTCATTTCTTGTCATTCCAGTGCGGTGGGGCCCAGGAGGTGTTTTGAGCCAAACAGTCGTCCATTTTGTTTCACCAGCAGTATGTGGATTGCAGCATTTTAAATCGTATCAGTGGTTTGCTTAGTGCATATCCTGGATTTTAAATTTTACCAGCGTTATAAATTCTAATTTGTAGTTTAACTTCTAAAACTGTTGCACATTCTCTTCTTCTGCAGTAAAATCACAGGTGAATTCCACTGCCCTTTGTTCACTGATCTGTGCCTGTTGCACATTCCTTTTCTGAACTATAAATGTAACCATTTGTGTACAAGACAGTAACTTCCGTGGCTAAAAGGGGTCATACCAGTACAGTTTCAGCGTGAAATTTTTAGTATTGCTGACGCTACTGCTATTAAAATAAAAGCTTCTCTGTCCCCTTTTAACAGGACAAAAATGAAGCAAAAAACTTAAGCAGTTGAGATGCTGAGTTGGAAACTATGGTCTGCGCAGTGCGAGATGGACTACATGAGTAGGGACATCGTTACAATTCAGCCTAACCTGTATTAGCCCGTTTCCAGATTGCAAGTAGAATGGGTTTTTACCAAAGAGCTGAAAAAAAACCATCCCACTCCCTAATAAGACAGAAAAAGGTATTTCTCAAAAACTACCTTACGTGCAAAAGAATTGTTACGCAGCCTCAAATTCTTACACAGCCTTACAAATTATGAGACCTGTCTTGTTCTTATTTTAATTCTGGAGAAGCGCTGACTTGTTGCCGATAACTTCAA